GTTTGGATGTGTATGGTTTGGTATATTAAAGCAGTCTTGGCAACAAACACTGAGCTGATGTAATAAACAAAACTATCTCATCGAGGAATTCCCCTTTTACTACCGATACATGTAAATATTCATGGTTCAGTGTCACTAAACACACATACCAAGTCATGTTAAAGTCATGGAAGCTCTGAGCTTTGATCCATAACTTCTAGTTTCTTAAGTATCACAGCAGTCTGACTTAAAGGCATCCTCATGTTGGCTGGATCACCTTTTTTTTTACCCAAAAATCTAAGCCCATAAATCAGAGTGTGTCTGCCCTGTAATCGTCTCCATCACTGTGTGTCTGCGGGAGAAGAACAGGGGGATTGTTTTCAGGGGAACACTGGAAGAGACGTGGCACATGCTCAACTGCTGCTCGGTCGGCAGGAGGGCGCAACAAAGCGGCAGGGAGACTCCACTCGGCATGTCTCCGAGTAGAAGTTTCCTCTCGGTGAGTCAGCCTGCCAGAAGGAACCGACTGCAGACACTTTGGTTGAGCGATTGCGCCCTTTACGCACAGTTTATACTAAACCCACATAGAAGTTTTGCGCAAACTTGACCGAGCTGCCAAATCTGTGAACTACAATAAGTTTGTGTTGAATATCTGTCAGAGCTGGTGGTTTGTGAGTGTGTCGCGTTTAAAGCTACTTTGTTAAGGCCCACCCAACACTCGACACATCAGCCTGAGCTCTCACCTGGTAGTACGCATACTGGATGTACCGATACGGTATTCGTTTCTCGAAGGTCTCCAGGAGATCCCTGCGCGGATACGAGAGGTTGAACACTGGAAAATCCGCCTTGCACTTCTTGAGGCACGCAGCCCTCAGCAGGATGTGGCGCACGACGCGCAGGGTGCTGTCTGGGAAAAGGGTGTCGTTGTCGCGGCTCACGGAGCTGCAGTTGCGGCTGCAGAACGCCTCGCTGTCCCGCAGCAGCCGGTGGAGCCGCAGGCTGAGCTCCAGGAACTTGATGCTCTCCGCCCAGTTCTGCGCCGCGTACTGATCCAGCGCGTAACTGTACGCCGAGTCCAGCGGCATGATGTCCTTCTGGGGGAAACTTTTGAAGCTGTACTTCTCATACTGAGCCTCCGCAGGGCCGGAGAGGATGGTGATGGCGAGGAGGAAGAGGAGGAGGAAGGCCGGCAACAAGCTTCTGAGGAGCAGCATCACCTCCGCCGGCTGCAGTCTGTCCGTGTTTTGAATGGATCCGGAGAGTTCCTCCTTCTTCAGCAGGGTCTGCTCATGTCTGACGGCACGTAGACCGTGAAGACCTGCAGAGCTGAACGCTGACAGCCAAACTCCTGGTGCAGGCCTTCAAAATAAAAGCCTCAATTAATATTTTTTCTCCAATTTTATTACCAAAAGTACAAAAAAAGAATTTGATGTCTTTTCACATATCTTACATTGATAAATTATAACAGAAACACACAACAGGTAACACTGTTTTCTCTACAGATAAACAAGTACAATAACACAATGTAGTTAGTTTTTGTAACTTTTCAGTATAATTCTCCACAACATCTGTATCCTACATCCATCCAAGACTCCACATCTGTACACGTGAAAAGTGTGCATAGTCTTTACTATATTGAGATTTTTGTCTTCATTGTGCTCTTGTTTCTTCCTGTGGTTCATTTGTATCCAGTGATGCGTGAATTTCTCCAGTGAATGTTCAGTGAAGTTTATCTTACCTAATGTTGTCTTTAAACGCATCACAAACAAATTAAATCAGAAAACCTACATTGAATCTAGAATTAAAAGTCAAGAAATGCAAAATAACTAGAGGGATTTAATGTAAATGTATGAATTAAATATCAGTAAGTTAGCTTTTTGTGTAATTATTGTATGGAAACTATTTGTGTTCCTCCTGCATAGTGTGTGTTTTTAACAAGTTACAGAACAGCTTCCTTCCATTAAACGTTTTGTTTTCATACAGTGCAAAGCACCTCAGTACTATATTGATCAGATTGCAGTTCCCTTCTTTTCTGTCTTGGAGAACGCCCAGAAAACCCACCTTCATTCATCTTTTAAACCCAGATAATTCAGGCACTTCAACAAGATCTATCACTCATGTGGTGAACAGGGAGCCTCCGTGAAGGAGATGTTCCAAATCCTGGACCTTCTCCCTGCACATTGTGCCCTCCCCTTGTGCTTGATTTGATTAATTTGCTGCAGGATGACCTCTGTGAACATCCGTCTGTGTCTGGTTTTACAGTGGGTCTGCTGTGTGTGATTACTGCCCAGCTGCAGGCAGATGTTTTAACAGATTTCATGTACTTGTTTCAACAGGAATGTTTCCTGCTGTGGGTCTCCTTACTGTGTTTTTAATGAATGCTTTATACCAAAACAGTGCAACCTATCTTCATGCTTTTTAGTCTTAAATCTAAAATATGTCCACTATAAATAGTAGCAAGGAATAAATTGGTGCATAAAAATTCACCAGAGAGCAAGAACCTGGATATTTCATACTGAACATTTCTTGGGGGAGAATGCGCCTTGATGTTTCAGATACAACCCAGATCCCCTGTTTCCAGCCCCAAATGCAGCTCCTGACATTTACTTTGAAGACAGAGCTTCACACTTCCAGCCTGAATGCTGATAACTGTGGTTTGCTCGGCTCAGACGTCACAATGAGTTTGAACCTCAAGGGAGAAAGTTTCCTTCAGTGTTTTCCAGACTCATAACATCCATCAGTGACCACAGTTTTACATCAGCAGGAACTGTTTTTGTCATATTTCTTCAAACAATGCAGTCATTTGTGCTTGGAACTCTGTAATTCTTCTCTTCAAGCGTGTTAACCTCTTGAAAAGTTGTGAGAAGAGTTGGTTATAGTTTCTGCTTCCACTCTCAGCAAGCTGACAAGCTGAGACTTGGACTGCTGAGCTGAAAAATCCAGACATGACACATCACTTCTGGGCAAACGCTACCTCTGAGTTTGCAGAATGTTCCTGCTGGAGGCCGTGCAGCAGCCAGAAGGTAACTACAGCACCAAAGTGGAGGCTTTTGTTCTGAGGCACACGGCTCAGCAATAACTGTTTAAACTGAACTGTGACACCAAATGATAACTTCAGAATATGAGGTTATAATTTTCTTCTCATTTGTGTGAAACCAGGGGGCAGGCCTCTGGTCAGGCTTTACACGTTTGCAGAATTCCATTAAAAAGTGGGTGGAGGCCTCCAGAGTCACTCCTCCTCTTCATCCTCCTCCTCTTCATCATCCCTCTGTGGTTCCCTGCAGCTGGAAGATAGAAAAGCTGGAAAGAAAGAGGACGGAGCAACACTGGACGGTTGGTCTGTTCAGAATAAAAGCACCAAGTGTTTTCATGTTTTATCTCAAAATGTGCTGAACTTCTCAAACAGGGTCACTTAAGGTCCAGACTGGATTTAAAAAGGCTTTTTAAGTTTGGTAAACTCAGCAAAATGTGTTCTACTTTCAAAAGCACAAGTTAGTAACTTATTATATTCATTTTTTTCTCAGTTACTGTATGGTATTGATTTACTTTTAAAAGGTTTTGATGCCTCAGCAACAATAGATGATCGTAACTAATAACTGCATTTATAAAGGAACTCGTCTATGCTTCTGTCGCTGAGCTTTCCCTCCCGCTTTAATTCTGTGGCGAGGAGTCAGTAAGGTTTAACAATATGTAGTTTAAAATTAGGTCATAGGCCAGAGAAGGGTGATAAAGACTATTGAACTCTGATCTTAGATTTTCACAATTTACTTTTAGTACAAGTAGCAGCAACCTGCACCCAGACAAGTTCATGTTTAATCAGAGGTTTGGATCATGTGATAAGGCAGGCATCCGTTTTAATGACAGCTCTCACATCCTTGCAAATGTTGCCCCAAAACTAAATACTGACATTGACAAAAAAAAAACAAAAAGGTACATAACATGAGAAGTAAGTACTTAATAAAATAGGAATGAGATTGTAAGCAAAATGCATTACTAAAAATAAAAATAAATTAGGTAAAATAAGGTTAGAAAAGAAAAGTAAGAAATAATGCTGGCAGTGACTGTGATGGAGTAAAGTAATATGACATCCATCCATCCATTATCTATACACCGCTTAATCCTCACTAGGGTCATGGGGGGCTGGAGTCTATCCCAGCTGACTCAGGGTGAAGGCAGGGGACACCCTGGACAGGTCACCAGTCTATCACAGGGCTACACTTAGAGACAGACAACCAAGCACACTCACATTCACACCTACGGACAATTTAGAATCACCAATTAACCTCAGCATGTTTTTGGACTGTGGGAGGAAGCCGGAGAACCCGGAGAGAACCCACACTGCACGGGGAGAACATGGAGACTCCACACAGAAAGATCCCGGGTGTCCTCATCGGGACGTGAACCAGCGACCTTCTTGCTGCGAGGCAACAGTGCTAACCACTGACCCACCTCGCAGCCCAGTAAAGTAATATTGCACATGAGGTTAAAATATTACACACAAAATTAAATATTGCACATAATAATGACATCGTATTGCACATGAAAGTTAAATAATACAAATGAAATTCAAGTAATGCACATGAAAAAATGGTAATAGTAATGAAATATTGTATATAACACAAGACTGCACAGCACTAGAAATTGAAATATTGCACAGGAAATGAAATATTGCAGATAATAATGAAATTTAAATGTTATATGTGAAATTAAATTATTGCCTATAATAATTACATATTGCACATGATAAAATATTGCACATTTAATATTTTAGCAGTTTAAAAAATTGCAGGAGAGGGCTTTAACTGTTCGACTGTTTATCACGTTGGATTGATAACATTTTATTCTTAGCACTTCTAATTCACACTACTTGGGACTTTATCTTATCGCCACAATATACGTCCTGATAATGAAGACTTTTATTTTGAAACCGGATGTAGCCGTCGTCATTGCAGCAGCTTCACTCTCGGACTTGTTGCGGTAAATATCTCTCCGGTTCTGTCTGACTGACCCACATCATCCCGCTGACAGGCGGGTTCCGACTCTGTCCTGCCGTTTTCTGCCTCCGGGCTGAACTTAAACATGTTTTTACTTCTTTTTCTCGTAGTTTCTGTGAGCGGAAGTCCCGGACCCTTAGTGGACGTAGTCGTCGACCGGTACGAGATCCCGAAAGTTTGTCCCCGAGAGGTTCAGACCGAAGACTTTATCCGGTATCACTTTAACGGAACCTTCCACGAAGACGGTAAAAAGTTTGACTCCAGGTGAAGTTTTTGAATAAAATACACAGTTTAATATTTGTAAAATTAGCTCTTTAAAAAAAAAAAAAAAAAGCTAACAGATGCTAACTGAGTGTTTGTATGAACCGTTAGCTTAAACAACTACCTAAACATGCTTTTAACGTGAATTAACATTTGTTGTCAGCTCTGATAAAAATCATGTTTTCTGGGTGAAATGTAGAAAGGAGCTATATGTAAATCCCATTTTCCTCTAAGGGATCATTTAGTGCAGCTGTGAAAACAACTGCAGACGTGTCATTTAGTGTGTGTAATGAAGCAGATCTCAGTTAAATAGCTGCTGTCAGCCCAGACTCTGTGTTTGTTTACAGTCAGGATGTAAAGGAAAAAAACATTTAAGTAGTTAAACATCACTATGCTTTACTGATTTTTTCTAACTAGTTTGGGTCATTTCCAGCCAGAAGAAACCTATTATCTAAATAAAGGTTGAATCAAAATATTTTTATTTTATTTTACTAATCACATGATTATGTGTAAATTAGGGCTTACGAGTGTTTCTGCAAAAAATAATTGGAAGCAGCTTTAAAAAAAAAAAAAAAAAAAGGAAGAAAGAAAGAAAAAGTGTAAAGTGTTTGCACAATTGTGGAAATGGCATTTTTAGTATAAATGTAAAAATAAATAAATAAAAACATCCAAATTCATCATGAGCATCTCTATCAAAATGTCTTGCTGTCTTTTCTCATCTTTTATATAATTTCCAGCCAGAAGAAACTCATTAGTCAAATAGAGATTCACCCAAAATCTGCCATGTGTATGAGTGACATTGGACTTAATTGTAGTTATGCAATGATTTGGCATCCATAAATAATAATTGTAGATGGAGAAAATGCCCATTTCTTTCTGTTGTTAAGCTAAAATCGCCAAAATTTGCCATGATTCTGAATAATTTAGGCCTAAATAAAATGTATACTGTATTGGTTAGAAGCTGTATTTTTAATTTCTTTGATTTTTTTGGGCATGATTAATTCACATAAGTAAACAGGTAAAAAAAAAATCACGGCATTTGCATTGAAAATGTTACAGGAAAAAAAACACCTACATAGAGACAGTTAAAATCCATCATCAACCTCTCGAATGCAATGTAAAACCATCTTTTATCACTTGTTCATGTCATTTACAACCAGAAGAAACCTATTGGTCAAATATAAAATCACTACTATACAGTGATCTGGAGTCCATAAATTCAGACAGAAGTGCTCAGTTTTTCTTTTTATTAGTTAAATTAGGATTGCACAATATTAGAGAAAACATGAATGAGTACTTCTAGAAGGAGTGGGGTGATTCTGTTGGGGAGTGCGTTTGCATCTTCTACAAAAACAAATCTGTTGGGGGAAAAAAAACGATGTTTGTAACCTTTCTCATACGGTGTAGCTCCAGCAAAGGCATCTGAAAAAGCTTTTGGCTTTGGACTATAGTCAGACCTGGGTTTGAACTTATCGCACAGCGCTTCCTGCTGCTGATTTAAATGGTCAAATTAGTCGTGTTGTGCTTTTTGCAACTATATCTGACTTCTCAGCCTGTTTCATTTTGCTGTGCACATGTGGCGCCTGCAGGTCAACAAACTAAACAAAAGAAAAAATAAACATCTCAGTGTATCTTCGAGCCTTTAGACAGACAGTAAACATGAGTCTTGGTGCCATGTTGCAAGACATTTGGAGCATTAAACACTTATATTCCTGCATTCAGCTGAACTTTTATGTGCCAATTTACCATTTCTGCATCAATTTATGATAGAAGTGTATTTATTTCTGAATAATTTGGGGGCTTATCTGTATTCATGCAGTGATTTGGAATAAAAAAATAGTTGCAGGTGGAGAAAATGTTGAGTCTTTCTAAGGTGAAGGTGACTAATATTCATAATGAAATGTAGAAATGATGTGGTTAATTATTAGTGTATTTTCTCAGGTTACAGCTAACTAGACTTTCTTCTTCTTCTCTCCTTTACTGTGTCTGCAGCCATGACCGAGGCAAAGCCTTCATCAGCCAGGTGGGCCTGGGCCGACTCATCACGGGGATGGACCGAGGTCTTCAGGGGATGTGTGTCAACGAGCGCCGGAGGATCATCGTCCCTCCACACCTGGCCTACGGAAGCATCGGGACAGGTGACCAACCAACAGCACCGCAGCAAACTGGCCTCTGGGTTAGCCGACGCCAACCTGTGCCGTTTGTGCCCCGACAGGTGGCGTGATTCCTCCCGACACGGTGCTGGTGTACGACGTCCTCCTGCTGGACATCTGGAACGAGGAAGACAAGGTCCAGATCCGGACGCTCAGCAGACCTGCGGGCTGCAACCGAACCACGGCCGCCTCAGATTTTATCCGTTACCACTACAACGGCACGCTGCTGTCCGGTCAAGCTTTTGATTCCAGGTGAGACGGTGAACTCATGAGCATCTCATGATTGTTTTCTTTGGGGTTTTTTTTTTTACAACTTTGACCTACGTTTGGTTTAGTTACTCGAAGAACGCGACCTACGACACCTACCTGGGGCAGGGCGACCTCATCAAAGGCATGGACGAGGGTCTTCTGGGCATGTGTGTCGGAGAGAGACGGGTCGTCATCGTCCCGCCCTTCCTGGCTTACGGAGAGAGCGGCTATGGTACGAACCGTTATTCAAGATAGCCTTAAGTTTTCTACCTTACATCTCAGTGGGACAGTTGGGCTGATATGTGTTGCTTCATTATATTCCACTTGCTCTGTTTCAACTTGTGCCTGGCATTTCTCATACGTCTCCAGAATAAAGGTGTGCAGGGGTGCTGCATACCATTAGTTATGTAACAGGATCATGTTTTTAAAAGCCTTCGGCAGCAGCTGCGTTACCTCTTATCGAGTCGAAAAGTTGTCGCATCAGTGATTTCTCTCTGGAATGGTGCTCACATTGTGTAACACTGGGGAAGGGCATCAGAAATAGTTGTGTTGCCTCATGCGGTAGCAAAAATTGCATGACACAGTATCTGCCCTTGGTCAGCATCATTGTGTCTGCAGCCACAACATATCCATACCAGTGACGATACAGTTCTTTTTGCAACCACGTCTTCCTTTTTTTAGCGTTTCTCTCTTGCTTATTTTTGCCGTGCACATGTGGAGCCTGCATTTCAGCGAACTCTGTGTCTCGTAGCAAAGTTAAAAAGAAAACTCGGTGTATCGAAGAGCCCTTAAATAGGAGTAAACTGTAGATTAGTGATGGAATGTGCAGCAAGAGTTGATTTGCATTATTTCACATCACAACACCAGTGCTGAAATTAAACATGGTGCAGCCCTGGTTTAGATGAAAATATTTCAAAGAACAATAAAAGCAACTAATACAAAAGTAGACCACGCAGCAATACAAGCAAGCGGATAAAAACCACACAAGATATCAAGATGAAGGTTTAAGTGAGAAAAGCAGAGCGAAACAGGTGAGTTTTTAGTTTGGATTTGAAAGTTACTGGGTCTGTGGTGTCACGGATGTGTTGTGGGAGAGAGTTCCAGAGGCTGGGGGGGGCGGCGACAGAGAAGGCCCTGTCCCCCTAGGTTCGGTGCTTGGTCCTGAGAACGATCAGGAGGTTGGCATTAGCGGAGCGGAGGGTACATGAAGGGGTGTAGCGTATCTTTGAGGTAAGAGGGGGCCTGGTTATGGAGCGCTAAATGGGTGAGTAGAAGGATTTTGAATTTAATGGGATGGGAAGCCAGTGAAGGTTTTGAAGGACATGGGTGATGTGGGCGAGGAGGCGGGCGGCAGAATTTGGGGTTTGGACATTAATGCAGAAACGCATTGCAGATTTGCAGTCACGTACCGAGCAGGTCTAGGAGTAGATCAATAGCCCCAACAGGGTGAATGCAAAGCCGGCTTATTTACATTTTGAGTGTTCTTGGCCGATGCTTTTGGAGTTGGAGGGGCTGTGAGTGGGTTTTAGTGGAGAGCTGTGTGCAGCTGCAGGACGGTCAGTAAAATCCTTCAAATTGCAGGGCTGCCTGCTCGTGAAACTGCAGGGTTTTCTGTTCCCACACTTGTTGAAATATTGTTATTTTCTCCCTTTAGAAAATCAGTGCAATGTCAGTATTTTCTACACATGTGAGGATCAGCGTTGTATCAGGATTTTTCTAAATATAGAAGAACATTATGCAATATCAACACTTCTTATGTGCAGTATGTGCGACCACTGCCTGTTCTACTTCTTACTGTTGGCATATTGTGTATTATTATATCATTTAAGTTAGGATGACTCTTTATTAATCCCACAGCAGGGAAATGTGCAGCGTTACAGCAGCAACGGGGAACGAGCAAAAACTTAAATAAAATAAACAAGAAATATACAAAAGTACCGTTTATATTGTAACGATTCTTCCATATGTAGAAGATGGATATTACACAGATTCATCTTGATGTGGAAAATAACGATATTGCACACACGTATATGGAAAACACTGATACTGCACGGATTCCTATGTAAGTAGAAAATACTGATATTGCCCAGATTCTTGTATATGTAGAGAAGTTTGTATTTTACTGTGTTATTTGAAATGAACAAAGGACCTATTGAGGACCTGTAATATCTATGTTCTTATGCATATTTAGATGTTTTTCCTAATGCTTCTACATTTGTGCACCATCCCCATAGCTGCTGCTACACTGCAAACTTCCCCCCTGTGGGATTAAAATAGGATTATCTTATTTTAAAAACAAACAATGCCCAGGTGAAGAAGATTTGGAGGCATTCAGAGACAGAGCTGTGATTAGTAACCTGAGTAATATAACTCATAGCTTTTACTGTGTTATTAGTAAAGTCATGCAGTTTTTTTCCCCCCATTTTAATTGTCTATAAACACACCTCAGCACAGTATAAAGATTTAAGTGTTGCTTTCCTCCTAACAGGGACTCAGGTTCCTCCTCAGGCTACGCTGGTGTTCGAGGTGCTGCTGGTGGATGTTTTTAACCCCAAAGACGATGTGATTGTGGAGGTGAAGGAGGTTCCCGAAGGCTGCAGCCGCCGGACGGTGAAAGGAGATTACATCCGCTACCACTACAACGGCACCTTCCAGGACGGCACGGCCTTCGACTCGAGGTAGACCTCAGGCACAAGCTACAACATCTAGACCACACTGTCGATGTCATTTGGAGTGTTACTTTTCTCATGTCAGTGTCAGGTGTAGCATTTAATTTCATGTGCAATATTTTTAGATTTTAATTTCTCAGGTGTAATAATTCAGTTTCATGTACAACTAGGGATTGACCAATACGAAGCACCAATAACAATAACCTAAATTTTAACTCATATACATTAAAAGTAATGTTTTAATAGCATGTGATAGCAAAGAACCTGTCATTTATAACAAGGCTTCTTCAGTAATAAGGGTGACTATCACTGAATATGTCAAAAAGAAACAGGAGTGATTTAAATGAGGACGCCCTCCTCTGTATATGTGGGACCAACTGAGATTGATCAGTTTGCTGTTCTTCTCTATTTTCTCGATATTTCACTGTTCTGTCACTTTTATTTCCCACTAAAGTCCATATCTTATATTATCTCCATATTGTTTTCCAGACTGTGTTTCAGGGTAATCTGGGGCTGCCTTCTAACTTAGCTGCTAGCCGTTAGCGTAGCCTTAGCCACTGTGAGAGGAGCTCATTTCCTGGTTTGTGGCAACGGCTTGTGTTTCTTGTTGTGTTTCTAATAATCAGTCAATAAAAATACCAGTACAGACATAAATATCGGCCACGATAATCGGCCTGATCAATAATCTGTCTATCCCTACGTACAACATTTTATTTTCGTCTCATTTTCTGGTGCAATATTTCATGATGAGCTCAGTATAATTGCCATTATTACTTTATACTGTTCTATTCTTGTTTTAGCTCACTTATTTTATTTCACTCAAGTATTATTTTTTATATCTTAATGCTTTTTTACACTTTTTCAGCACTGCTGCACGTCAGCATGAATAGCATTTTATTTGATCTTATCTTAACATGAAAATTAGCTGTCGTCCTTCTTTTGCCAGCTACCAGCGAAACAGCACCTACAACACCTACGTCGGGATGGGATACGTGATCCGAGGGATGGACAAAGCCCTGCAGGGTTTGTGCATCGGAGAGAAACGGAGGATCACCGTCCCTCCTCACATGGCCTACGGTGAAGACGGAGTTGGTGAGTTCGCATTATGGAGGATTTAAAAGACACTCGGATGGAGCAAGAGACCACAAAGTTGTTGCTTAAGCGTATGACTCTGCTGTGTAGGAGACATGATTCCAGGCTCGGCCGTGCTCATCTTCGACATTCACGTCATCGATTTCCACAACCCCAAAGATCCGGTCGACATCAAAGTCACCCACAAGCCTCAGGAATGCGACGCGACCAGTGAAGCCGACGACTTGATCCAATACCGTTACAATTGCTCGCTGATGGACGGCACCCTGCTGTACTCCTCGTGAGCGCCCTCTGCTGTTCACTCTGCTGCACTGCACCCTGCGGCTTCATGCATGTAAATCACTGCTGACACATTTCAGTAGGCTGGAACTCCAGATATCTTATTATGCTTCCATGACAACAACAACACATATACAGTCGTCCTCACATGTATTCGTAACCTTCCATTAAAGAAAAGGCAAAATTCATAATAGTCACTCAAATAACCAGAAACTGAAAAAGTAATAATAAATAAAAATTTGCTAAATTATAATTTAGTGAAATAAGGCTTTGCTTTTGATTGGTGGTTGAAAAGAATAATTTAAAAAAACAAACAATTAGGGCACTTTGCTGATGAGCAGTGGGCCGAAATCAAAATAGCTGTCAACAGGTGCAGAAGTCTGATTGAGAGCTACAGAAAACACTTGATTGCAGTGATTGGCTCAAAGAGTTGCTCAACTAAATATTAGTTCCCATTAGGTCCCATCATGCTTGTTTGTTTTTTTATTGTTTTTTTCTTTAATATTTCTGTTGAATCACAATCCAAAAGCAGTGTCATGATTTTTATTACACTTTTATTTATTATTGCTTTTTTCAATTTCAACTTATTTCAGCTGTTTTTTTCCCCCGTTCTTTAATAGGAGGGTATGAATACATTTGAGGACGACTGTACCTGCATGGCTCAAGGTTTTATTTGCTTTCTGAGTTTTGCGCAACCCTCTGAACCCCAAAATGAGTTTTTAAAAAACGATTCAAAATGGCAGCAATTATCAGAGCAAGAAACTGTAAAACGACAGAATTATAATATGTGATCAAAACCACGATATGCTACATGACACATTTAAAAATTCTGTACTTATTGGAGCAAGAAGCCATTAGTGACTCAGCTGCAATTAAAACATGACAAAAAATCCAGGCTATTCAGCTGAACTGCAGGCTGTGCATACACCGAGCAGAGAGAAGACAAGTATGAAAACAAATGAAAAATATTAGTGACAGAGCTCTAACCTTTTTTTCTTGTATTGCTAACAGCTGTGGGCAGTTTCAGAAATGTACATTTTGATTCCAGGTTTTTTGGATTTTATGATTTTTCTTTTGATTTATGGCTTCATAGCTGAGATCTCTCTACTTCTAGTCATGGTTGTTTTGTTTCCATAGAGACGCAGGACTTTATATCACAGTAAAAAATGAACCCACAGTGAGGAAAAAATCTGACAGGACCATAAATAAAACACCCAGAAGCTGCTGGGGTTCAGAGGGTTTTTACAATTCCCTCTATGAAAAGTGATAACCGGTGATGTGTCATTTTGCAGGGATCAGTTCAACTCGCCTTCTGTCACCACTCTGGGAGCAGATAAGGTGATTCTGGGTCTGGAGGAAGGTTTGAAAGGGATGTGCGTCGGAGAAAGGAGGGAAGTGGTCGTCCCTCCACACTGGGGACACGGGGAGGATGGAGGTCAGTCATCGTCAGAAAGGCTCAGATACACAAACCTTTCTTTATACCCTGCTTTGAATCTCTTGTCTCGGTGTTTCCAGCTGGAGGAGTTCCCAAGAGTGCAGTGCTCTTCTTTGAGCTGGAGTTAGTGGAGCTGCAGAAAGGTGTGCCTGAAGGCTACATGTTTGTGTGGCTTGGGGACGGACCCGACCCTCTTTTTCCTGCTATGGACCTAAATGGAGACAAAGAAGTCCCTCTAGAGGAGGTAGGAGGCAAACAAGCTAAGTCTAGACTAACTAACCTTTCAATAAACAACCGGTGAAACTCTTATTTTCTGTTGTTTTCTCCAGTTTTCCAACTTCCTCCGGCTCCAAGTTAAAGAGGGAAAAGGTCGACTTCGGCCAGGAGTCGACGCCGACAGCATCATTAAGGACATGTTTAATAACCAGGACCGGAACAAAGATGGAAAGATCCTAGAACATGAACTGAATGACCAACAAGAGAGACGAGACGAGTTGTAAAGGAGACGCACGTATCTCAGAGATGGTAAATATCAACTGTTGTGCAGCTATTCTGAAACCGCTTCAGAAGTTGTTGGGCCTTTATTTAAGGCAGCCAGTTTGCTGAAATTGTTGCTATCATACACCAGCAGGCATTTTGGCTCGTTATAGTAGGAAAAACACTTTTTTTTTTACTACCTAACATCAACAAATGGCTTCTTTACGTTTTAAGAGTGAGCCAGCATTAACAAGACCCTGAAACCAAAGCAGCTAAATGGAACTCAACCATCTTTTAAGTTTATTGTTTACACCAATGTTTTTCCTGCTGTGACATGTCAAATTGTGAAAATGCACTAAGTCAGTGGAAGTATCCATCTTCAGCGTGAGATCAGTACACTGTCCACAGGAAGGTGTTTGAAAATGTGAAAGAGAAAAACGGTCTGTTCTGTTGAAAAAGGTCCATTTACATCAAATTATGCTCCAAAGAATTTGGGCTGGGCCTTTAATCCAGAATGTTCTATGTATACTGAGCAGCCACAACATTAAAACCACCTGATTAACAATGTGTAGGTTCCTCTTTGGGTTCTGTGTTGGTTGGAGTCATTCTTTAAGACAAAAAGTGCAAATTCTCTCTTTCTGGTTTCTTTCCTCATCGGTATGCACAAAACATTTGTCATCCTGAGGTTTGGGTAACACCACATTTTCCACCATTTTATAGAGCAAACTAATGGTTTAATTAAGAAAACACTCAACTAAAAATAATCAGGAGTTGCAGCCTAAACTGAGAATCCAGATTCCAAACCTGACTCTTCAAAATAAGAGCCCGCAAAGACGATCGATATGAATCTCTTCACCTGGCAGTGGTTTTAATGTTGTGTCTGATCGACGTATAAACAAATCAGATGAGATGCTACATGGCTCTTCCCCTTCATATATAAATGACTTAAAACCACTGGTTGTACAGTATGTTTGGGAGATGTCTGTGGAGATCATCCAGGTCATGGTTAATCTCATGGATTAATCGTAGCCGCTGGACTTGCTTGAGTTCCTTGAAGACGTTCCACCTCTCATCCAAGAGGCTTCATCAGTTCTGACTGACTAGTTGGGAGTTCCAGATACTTATATCCTTAAGGATCCATTAACACCTGAGTTTCAGTTTCAATTTCGGGGTTTGTTGCTCCTCCCCCTCGGTATGTGGGTTGTTCGTGCTCCCCCGGCCACAATGGGGTTTGTTAGGGTCTGTTGTGGCTAGGTGTGAATGCAGTTTCCTCCTTAAGGATATAAGTATCTGGATCTCCCAACTAGTCAGTCAGAACTGCTCTTGGATGAGAGGTGAAATGTCTTCAAGGAACTCTAGCAAATCCAGTTGCTACGATTAAACTATGAAAATATATTTGGGAGGGATTTCTATCAGAGAATAGCATCAGTTACAGAGCTGTGAAAAATACAATAAACTTGTATAACAAAACAAAGACATAATTTTTTTCCCCTCCCACTCAGCTCAGAGTTCAGTTCAATGAGACGTGAAGATCAGAAACGGATGAAAACGCGTTTTATTTCAGACAAATGGGAACATATGAAGAAATGATGAGTTTGGACAAATAACAAAATCAGAATCGACTGCAGTTGACAGACTATCAAGAATCAGTGTCAGTCGTCAATATTGTGAGATTGTAAAGGTTTTTAGCCACCAGTCTCTTACAGTGCATAAAGTGACAGACGTTTGAGTGATTTATTTATGTTTTTCTCTCAAAACTGTACAGTTAAATCCTGTAACGGGATCTTGGTAAAACCATCACACCTCTGAGGTAGCAGTTTCTTACTCTTCGTTACCTCTCATCTGAATATTTTTAATATCTGTTTACCTAAAAATAAGTGTTGTAGTAGTAGCACTGTGGTGTTAAATAACAGCTGAAACGTGTTGATTTCATGTCGTTTTCTGGTTAAAATTCAGTAGAAGGTATCGTTGGAGGCTGTTTCACAACCAGTCACGTGCTGCCATTTGTGTTGTGCGTTTGTCTTTCCCTTTATCATTACATCCTATATGAAAACCAGACCTGTCTGACAAAACCAGTTTCCCCCAGACAGCTTTAAAAAAAAAAAAAAACACTTCACAAGAGCTCGATGGTGCAAATTTGGCTGCCAAAACATACAGTATGGTCCAAAAGCAGTTTGGACAAAGATACAAAGGGGTGACGTGGTGTCGGCGAGCTGGACTTGTCAAGAGTCTCTCGGGACTCATTCAGGTGTGTGTAGCTTTTAGTAAAATAAAAAAAAAAGATTGTTTAACATTCTCAGTTGGTTTTCAATAAGAATGCAGTTTTCTGAGCAGGGACTCCCTGCAGTGTCCGATGGCCAGCAGACGGTTCACTTATTCCCGGTGAGGTACAGCAGCACAGCGTTGGGGACTTCCAGGGTTTCATCCTCCACCAGCACAATGTCATATGAGTCCAAGTATGACTGCTTCCTCTCCGCCACCTGAGGAAGCACAAAAACAAGTTAATCTGGTAGAATCTGAGGATGTGTTTTTTCTCTTGGGTGGTATATGTGAATGTATTTAAAGCTCACATAATTCTCATTTTCTGTGACTAATCTACAAGGGAAGTCTGTCTTAAAGGGTTCTTGAAGATACCGAATTTGTTAATTTGATATACAATGCAGTTTGTGGACTTAAAGGCTTCAAGTGTGCACAGCAAAATAAGCAAGAAACAGGCTGCACAATTAATGTAATATTAATCAGGATTTTAGCTTTTAAATTACTTAAACACAATCAACTGTGATATTGATGTTTAAATGTGCATGTAGCTAAAAGTGTGTGGTTTCAACGTGGGTAAATCTAACATTAGAACACCTTATTTCACTCTTTCTAAAGTAACTTTTGTTCTCACAGCTGTCTGATCCGCCACAATAACTGAGTGGAGACGAGAAGCTTCTCTGTGCACAGCTGACAAATTAGCCTCTACTGTAGCCTGAAATGAGAAAAATCTGGCTAAAACTAATGTAAACTTTTCCAAAATCACTGAAGAAATGTCCAGAATGATTTGAAATCCATCCAAAATACCTCTAAACTTTACTAAAATTGCACAAAATGACAAAAATCTGTCCAAAATGAGTCAAAACTTCTCCTAAAAGACACTTAAAGTCAAATTAAATGCATCTTTTTAAAATTTTTATTATTTGTCATTTCACTCTTTTGGCCTAATTATCATTAGTCATTATTTTTGGTCTCACAGCTGTCTGATAGGAGACTAGAAGCATCTCTGTGCACAGCTGACTAGCTGGTTTCTACTGTATCCTGCATGTGAGGCGTTTAGGGAAACTTTTGGCAAATGGTCATATTTATCAATAAGGATACGTTCAGCATGTGAGACATTTTGGG